TACCACTAATGCATGATTGCATGACATGATCCACACCACGTATCAGTCAAGTACCTTGTGACACCAATGTTCGGCAACTATCCATGACTAATACCAGATGACCAGGGTAAGAGAGAGAGAGAGAGAGATGAATAAGTCTGTTTATGAAAGGCATTATCCTCTGTGGTTGGTAAAATCCTGTGCCTCATGAGTACTCAGCCACTCAAAATGCAACTCATCTCAAAAAGCTTCAAACCACTTACGGCTTTTATCGCAGAGGCAGTACCTGAGGGACCGAGGCTTAACTGCTCTGTTCAGATGTTTCCGGAAGTTTAAAAGCAACACATTTCCTGCCTTAAGTGGCCATTTCTCTGAAGATCTGCTCTGTAGTCTGTAGGGTTATGCGCCAAGTTGGCATGCCTTTAAAATTCCAGTTCTGTTTCTAAAATTAAACTGAATTGGAATTTAACAACATCAGCATTGTGTGATTACATTTAATGTGTATTAGGTCTAATTTCTCATTGTCATACCAACAAATTAATGTTCCTTAGAACTGGTTCTGTTTGAAATACAAGCACACATATCTGTAATCAGATGCATATTTAAAACTGGAATAAAATCAAATTTTTATCTTCAAAAGCCCTTCCGATATGTATCCTTGTTTTCGCATGGGTCCGGTGCAGTCTCTTTTTTTCTGTAGCCACTCCGAATTCTTTTGCAACGCCTTCAATTGTCATTTGAAGCTTTCTGGATTCGCCATCAAATAGATAAGTTTAATTATATTAAGTGCTGTGAAAAAAGGCTATAAATCTCCACCTCCAACATCCTCACACGCAATATAGCTTATACTAGCCGAGACTCTTCTTTATGTGTTCAGATATGACGTGATGACTCAATATAGCCAACTAGCCGAGACTCTTCTTTATGTGTACAGATGTGACGTAATGACGCAAAGACATGCTCGATTCTCCCGCGGAAATCCACCAGTACCACTGGAATTAAAAACATTATTACAAGTTTACCGCTTTGAACAAACACTGGCTGGTTATGTACTTGCTGAAAAATTTATTTTGGATCTTTTTTAAACCCAAAATTACAGACTGCAGCTTTAAAAAATAATACAAAAATCCTATTTCCAAAATTTTGACCAGTAAAGTAATTTCAATGTATGTATTTAAATAATTCATATCAAATGTATTTAAACAGCCAATTACATAAAATTCAAAATTTATAACCAATATCTCTCTCTTCTTTCTCTTTATTAGCAAACAGATAAGAGTTTGTTCACCCATGGGCTGTTCTCCCTTCTTCCTAAACTGTGGTCTCTGATTTGTCATTGCCAACAGCCGGATGAATCTGTCACAGCTCATGTTGCTGAAACGGGACTGCCTTCCCGCTCATCATGACCTCCACACACTGTCCCAGCATGCCCTGCAGCACCTGACTGCATCAATGTGCTTTCACAGACACAACATGCATGTAACTGCAGGAACCACAGCCCTTTTGACAAACGGTCCTCTCCTTAAATGTTTTTAATTGTGTTATTTACTCACCACTCACTTACAGTTGTCAAACTTGAGTGTCTCTTCCATGCAAGGAAAGTGGACAGGGAACAGAAAATGTCAAGCTCCAAAAAGGACAAAAAACATCATAAAAATAGTCCACATGATTTGGGTCATTCAGGTACGGGCCGGCAAATGAACTTTAAAAACATGAAATCAGTCACTGTAGATTGTTTGGCTCCTAAGATAAAGTGCAGCAAATGCAGCCATGTAGGCTACTACTAATATATGGATCATTATAACATTACAGGCCCATTCTCTCTCTCTCTGGCTGGATGGATAGATTGAGGGTCAACCCCTGGCTGTTCTGCTCAGCATCACAGTTATTTTCATCTCCAAGTAGACACCAGCCCTTAGCCCAACTACACACTGTCACTAACTATGAGGCCATCTCAACCATGATTAGATTTAGAGACTCGAGACAACACGTCAGATGTGGATGAGGTCAGCACTAGAGTGTGAATAGACAGGCAGAAAGTCCAGAAGAACGATGACGTGTCATCCGTCACCTCCTCGTGCCTCAGGGAGCCCATGTTACCCTTGTGTCCTCAAACGAGCCCCTGGCAGCGTCTGCTATGGGACACCTTCCTGTCACAAAGCCGATACACAGGGACACAGCTGCTGATTTGTACCAAAGGGGACAAGGCTGACTCAGAGTTGTTGTTTTTTTGGTAGTTTTTCATATCCTGAGTTATGACATATGGGTCATTCTTCAATTGGAGTGGCAAATAAAAGGCTTTTTAAAAACTGAAGTTGCAATAGTCTTTTCATTAAAAATGCTGGGTTGTTTTAACCCAACTTTGGGTCAAATATGGACAAACCCAAACAATGGGTTAAAAATATCATTAAAAACTGTAACCCAATGGCTGGGTTTGTCCATATTTGACCCAAAGTTGGGTTTAAACAACCCAATTTTTAGAGTCTATTGTGACGTATATATCCAAAGAAAGCGGCTTCTCAAACATGAAAAAAAAAACTTAATTTTTTTCCAACAGAATTGATTGAATGATTGTTTGCTATTGCTGTGATCTCATTGTGACTTTATGTATTGCTACACTCTAAAATATGAACAAACTCAGCCATTGGGTTAAATGTTTAAATTACATTTTTAACCCAACATCTGGGTTTGTCCATATGTTTCCCAAATTTGAGTTTAAAACAACCCAGCATTTTTAGAGTGTATCTATTTTAGAATTTGTTTAATATAGATATTCAGTAAACTGGAAGCTTATAAGAACATTTGGATTTTTGATTAATTTTAGTCAAATAACTAACTTATGCCAACAGTAACCACAGGCAAATTAATGAAAATTAAAAACTATAAATAAAAATGACATGCTATCATAATAGTTTAAAGATAAGGGGAGATTTGTAGCCTGGATGCCAGCCCGAACTCTGCCCACATTTTTTGGTCAGGAAGTTCGGTCTGTACTCAATCCATTAAGGAGTAAGATCGGTTCAGAAATGGTCGGGCCAATCAAATTGCCAGGGCGGGCTTTATACGATGATGGACAGATGATCTGCAGTTATGTGATCATCACTTTATCAAAGAGTGCTTGGGTTGAACTGGTTTCCTTCAAAGATGACTGCCGCTGGAGAATTGAGATATAGATTTATTGTTGTAAAATAAATCAACAGCGCATTAATTTTAAAAGACGAACAGAGAACTGCAAGGCATTTGTCGATCGGAAAGATGTGTTTGACCTTCCAATGTGATTTGGCAAAAGTTTAATATATCAGCTCCGATGGTCTCTGAGAAGATGGGATGCAATGAAAACCCTGTGGTTGTTGTGGTTTCTCCTTTCGCACTCACCCAAATAAAAGGGAGCAACACTCATTTTACGTGCGTGCAGTTGGGTTCTGTTGACAACTATGCAACTTATACTGCATTGCTCTGATAGGTCTATCCAATTGAATGCAGGGTATCTTTTTCCTGGTTCGGTTTATGCCTCATAATCAATGCCCTACGGAGCATTATCAGACTCACATTCTGACTAGAATGAAGTCGGGCTAGGGAATATTTTAACAAAAATTGAGCGTCAGCATCAGTTGGCAGGCCCAGTCAGCACGCTGCTAACGCTATCGGCCGACTACACGGTCTCATCAGCGATCTGCTCAGCTGAAGTGCATCTGCTGTTCATCTCCCCTGTTGCTAATGACTAGCACTTAAATCAGGGCGCCCTATTTAAGCAGATTCAGTTCGCTCCTAACTGCTGCTGCTCAACTCGATGTATTCACTCTTCATTCATCTCTGAAAGTTTTCACTAAGCTAAGTTTCTTTTTAATGCTCATTTGGATATGTTTAATGTTATTAGGATATGGGCACTGTGTTATTGCTAATGCTAACCGTGTGCTTGGGCTTATCGTGTCATTTTCACGCTCTTGCTAGGCTCATGCGATCATGGCAATATGTTACTGTTGTCATTGGCAACTGCTAGCGTTGCATGTGCAGTGATTTAGCACAGATCAAGCAGACTGCAGTGATAGTAACGTTAGTAAATAACAATTCATGGTGCAAACTGAATTATTTCTGATGTGGCACAGCTCTAAAAAGACAATAAACGGTCACTATTCAGTGAGTCAATTAAAGAAAGTCTCATCTGCTAAATCTTACTTGTCTTTCTTCTGCTTAGTTAAATTGCCCCTGGATGCGCTTACTGACTGCTTAATTCAGCCTTCATTTATTTTTTATCACATCAGGAGGTTGCTTTATGATCTGTTTGGGGGAGAAGTTTAGCTCTCCTAGTCCTAATTCATGTGAGCATTCCCTAATGCTGCTGCTGTCCTCTGACTCTCTGCTATTTCATGGTGCCCATGAAAGGTCAGAGGACTCCCTGAACGAGCCAGACTGCCGAATTTTAATTATCCACTGCAGTATGCAGTTTATTCTGTACAATTTCCAAATCATTGTCATGAGTGTTCTTGACTTAATGGACCTGACAGAACTATATTTATCAGTATTTAGATAAAAATATGCAAAATCTGGAAGTATCACCACAGATTCCTAAAAAGTGCAACACATGAAATATAGCAAACCCATTAAAAATGAACAAGAAAGTCATCACGCACCCCTCAGATCAACCACCACCTGCAATGACCTTTACACACAGGAAGTAGTCCAAATAAAGTCCCCCCTTTTCTCAAAGGGATACTCCACCGTTTTGTTTTGTTTTTTTCATATTAAACTATGTTATTCCCTTAACTAAGATGTGTTCAAACACAAACACCTCCGCGTTTTCCCTATTTAAATACAGTTGCTCGTGTAGAGTAACTCAACCTAGGACAGTGACACAAAATAAAGTCACCCCATTTAACATCAATAGTTGGATGTTTCTAAAAATTACCTTTCTAAAAGTAGGTTATATGACAATGCTACACAATAAAAAAAATGTAGCTGTTAATTTCAAAAACAGTAACCACAGCTGCCAGTATTTTACCGTTTTGTTTTACAGTGTAGGGTATCTTACCAAATTTAACATATGTACCATGGCATTTTACATGGTAACCCAAGACAAAAAGCCATGGCACATGTACTGCCAGTCTTTTGATCGGATAATGTGTTTACCTGACTTGGAAACAAGTATTATTTTAGCAGTTCCGTGACTAGCGCATCAATTACAAGGCTTTCTCTTAGAATGGCACACAAATTGGCCATTCAGTGAATTCAAGAACTGTGTTAACCTTTTTCACTACGTACTGTAAAAACTGTCATCAGAATATGAATAAAATAATGGATACGCTGATGCACATAATGAAGCACGTGAATAGCACTGAATGGAACCTTGTGGTAACACTGTCTTGAGACTCACACTATAATTATCCTGTGTGATCTGCAATGAATTACATTTCCTGAGTAATTACACAATGGAAGCACTTAAATAGAGCACAAGCACACATCATCACACTACGCTGGTAATCTGACTTTTATAAAAGCAAAAATATTTCTTTTCTTCTAGTTGGACCCTTGAGACATCAATTGGAAAGTTACAAAAGTAGCGAACTAAGAGGTAAGTCGTGTTCATGCCATAGCACGTCTCGCTGAGAGGTCTGAGAGGGGAGGCAAGAGAAAGGCTGGCACATTATGAAGCACAGTAGTCTTTTAAATTGACTGTGAGAGCAGACAGGCTGCAGAGCGAGGGGTCAGCTGGGTCAAAGAGGGAAGGTGAAATAACTGATAGGAAATAAGTGTGCGTGACTGAAGAACACGGGGGGACTGGAGGCGGGACTGTGGGAGGAGACCATCTGGGTAAGAAACTGAACTTTGAGGGCAATATATATCTGCGCATTGTATTTATATAAAACATTTCTGTCTGTTATATAAATAGAAAAGAGGTGACGCATTAACAATCTACAGGCAATAATGGCACTTTATAAAAAAATGAATTTAATTAAAAGATTGTTTAATTTTAATCAAAAATGATATTAGAAACAACTATAATATCAAATATTTCTAATATAAGATGTAGAGGTTAAATAGCATTTAGATATGAGTGTTGTCATCCAATGAGAAATACAGAAATCAAAGTGTAAAAAATATTTTCATGATTTGTTGTCACATTTTTTGTTTTGTTTTTTTCAAATCAACTTAGATGTGGTTCAGAGAACATAATAATTTGAGTCTCTGTAGATTGAACCAATTGTATTGACTCAATTTTTTTTATTTCAATGAACTTGATGAAATGTCAATGAAGCAACAAGGTTACACTCTAAAAAATGCTGGGTTGTTTCACCTCAATTTTGGGTGAAATAAGGACAAACCCAGCCATTGGGTCAATTTTTTCAATTACTTTTTTAACCCAACATTTGGATTTGTCTGCATTTGACCCAAAATTGGGTTAAAACAACCCAGCATTTTTCTTTTTTAAGTTAAAACAACAATATTTTTACAGTGCATGAACGACCAATGAACATCAACGTGATCAATTGCATTAAATTATTTGCATTTGTTCTTAAAATGACTCATTTGAATTTGTCCCAGACATTGTTTCCTCTACAAAAATGTATACCACAGGATGTGCCACCTGGGTTTCAATAATAGCTGAAGCCTCTTAAATGTCTGGTAAAGCTGGAGAGCACTATACTTGCAAAATCACAGCATGAAAGTTCATAGATTTTTAGATGGAGAGTCATATACCTTTGAATTAGGATCTTAAAATTTCAACTTTCACCAGGAAGGACCATAGGGAAGGACATTCAAAATGACAACTGGGCTACAGGCATTTTTAAGAAGTGTAAAAGATTTGTAATTCTTTTTAACAAGGCCAGATCCAATTATTAGGCCATTAAATCCAATTAGCATGAATTGTTAAGTAGTTTCATTACAGTTCCCAGTTTATAAAACACCCATGACTATTAATGCAAATGATTTATTAATGCACTTTAATTTGCATTAATAATTAATCACAAAACAGTCCTAACAGTTTCAGACTTCAGCATAAACCTCTGTAATGTAAAGACGGTGCAATTGCATCTAAACAGAGCACCCAACGGGACAATTACACCCTTGACTCAGTGTTTGTCAGAGCATTAACCCTGTCTGGATGGCACTAATGTGTCATTAAGTTGCTGCTGCATCCTGTTTACCGACTGTAGACGTCTTGTCACATGCTGAGCAAACTGTAAAATAAATAAATAAATCCTGCCACCTGTAAGCCACTAAGCTCTTCTATGCATCAGTTTTACATGCTTTATCTCAAACACACAGGTGTGAATACTAATGACTCAATGATGGTCTTGAACTGTGGTTTCTGTTTGAATATATAGAGAGTGAGTTGTTTTAAATTAGGAAACAACTCAATCCTCCCTGAGAATAGAGCAGGTGTTGATGTTTTATGTATAACCCTATTAGGACAGCGTATGAGACAGACTTGGCTTATGGCCTAACAATCTGACAAATATAAATAATCAAAAGCAGCCTGAAGTTGGGGAGCGCAGGCATTTGTTCTGTTCCAAAACCTAGTGAACATTTTCTTTCTTCTGTAGAACACAAACTCTATTGAAATCAATTACAAGTCTGCTGTTTGAAGTTAAGAACCCCAAAATAAGATAAGATCAAAAGGAAGAACCCTTTAGGGTCTTTGTAACCACGAAAAGGGTTCTATATGGAACCTTTTGGGTTTATTCATTATCATTTGTTTTGTCCTTTCCAGATTAAATATTTCATAATATTGAGAAACATCAAGTTTTAAATGTATACCTAAAATGTATTTATGAATACATGTGAATGATCAAAAAATTCAAGATATGGGGGTTAGAAAATGTATATATCATTATATGTTGTTAATCAATATCACACAAAGAGTGCCATTTCAGTTTTTCTCCTCCAAAAATCAGCATGATGAAAATGTGATATTATTTACTGCAACAGTTTAATAAACAATAATTTAATTATAACTACAAAATGTTGCAGAATAATGTAATATATGAATGAATAACAGCCTATAAAGAACATTTGTGCCAAAATTGTTCTTTCTTGTCATTATAGAACCTTTTTTAGCATAAAAGTTTCTTTGGAGTTGAGTAAAGAACCCTATTCTTCATATGTAGAACCCCAATGAACAGTGAGTGTATGGTACTGTAAGTAGGCTAAGTATTACATACATGCAACAATAATAAAACAATGCATTGACTTTTACTTTTGATACTTATGTACTCGAGTACTTCTAACTTTGACTTGTAACAGAGCAATATATGACTAGTGTGAGTATCTGTACTTTTACTCAGTAGGGAAGTTGTGTACTTTGTCCACCTCTGCTCTAGTGCCAACTAGATTGATCAGTTCTCAGTGATAAATTCCATAGCAGGTTCAGTGGAAACTTGCTGTGCTCGTTTTCAGAGAACGGCCTGACTTGCTGACCTTACCGCGGTTAATAATACACTCTGCCAGTGTGGACACAGGATGCTGAAAATGCCTGGGCACACACTCCACTCCATTCGCCCGGATTATTCACTCATTTCCAAACAAACAGGGAATTATAAAGCACCTTAAGGTTGCATGCAGTGGTTGTGTGTCTTGCTTTACCTCTGCACTCTGGATGTGTGTTTTGATTTATGGCTCAGAGGCGGATGGGGTGTCATGACCTCATCCCTTGACCCCAGGTCATCACAATAAAACGGACTGCTGATAATCAATTTCTCATAACCGAAGAGTTAGAGTAAGCTCTGACCTAGGCATTATTCAGTTGAGGGACAAGGCAAGCAATGAAAGCCAGTACGCATAAACCATGATCCCTTTTACCAATCTACAGTGATGCTTCTCTGTAACCACAGTAATTAAACAAAATGTTGGCAAGACAAAATAAATAAATAAATAAATTATGGCGTATGAGTATATTTTTTTCCCCTTTACCCTCAATCATGTCAAACTCTTTATTTCACAACAACTGCTTTATAGTAAATCATTATTTTCAGCCAGACTCTTTGAGGCACGTCTGAGAAAAAGCACACGCTGCTCAGTAAACCATTTAAGAAAAGCTCCATCCTGCATCTGCCAAGCTCATCTCATTTTTTTTTTTTTTCATGATGAAATAGGTTTGATTTAAAATCTAGGCATACAAGTCTTAAGGCAGACAATGTGGGAACTTTTTGAAATTTTTTTTTTTATTTTCTGTTCTACAAATATCTGTTACTACACTTAAATAATTCAGCGCTCTGATTTTCTCAGAAGAAAAAAAATCAAACATTTGCGGTATTGAAATCTGTTCAATACCGAAGAGTGCAAAGTCACCAGAAACGCCGGAGCTGTCTAAAATTGGTTGTCTACAACAGCAAACCACCCAGTTCCAGAAAGAGATCAAATTATATTGTGCAGCTTCCTTACTCAGTCTCTCTTCTGTCACTTGTTATTAAGCTACATTCAAATATACAGCATTAGCTGTAAAGCAAGTGGCTTTCCTGTAATGGTAAAGTAAAAGAAGCAGATCAATCAATGGCAGTGACATCAATAACCATATTGTCATGTAGGCCTAATTTAATTTAGTAGACTGAAGACAAGCTGAAGTCATGATGTGTCCACCAATAGAAGATTTTTACTCTTCTGCAAACATTAAGTGTTCAAGGTCATTCTTTGTTTGCTGATTCATTTCTTATTGGAAAAATCCCAATGAATTTAATTTGACATGTTAGCTATTTGGTAAATGGAATGGCAAATGGACTGCATTTATATAGTGCTTTCACAGACCCAATGGCCACCAAAGCGCTTTACAGATTGCCTCACATTCACCCATTTATTTTCAGCCAAGCCATTTATATATTTCCAGCCATGTATGTGTACTTTCCTCTGTTCAGTAAATTACTTATTGTGGGCAAGATTAACAAGGTCAACACACGTTTTGCAGTGCGTTTGCATTTTTTATAAATAAAAATGTGGTGTTTATCAGCTTGACTGAGCATCCTGCATAATGCAGAATCGTACCTTTAGCCTATGTGTATTGACTCTGATATGAGATAGAGTAGATTGGTATGTAAATAATTTTCTAAAATTATATCTCAGGATTTTATTAACTTGGCCAACATCTAGCGACACAAACATAGGCTACATGTAGCCTACAAATACGGACGTAGCCTAGCTATCTCCCACTCACTTAAATGTAGTAGGCCTAGCTTATGTTTGGTGCTCTTTCGCCATCTCGTGGTTTAAAAGAAGTCTTTCAATCTTCAGACTATGTTTGAAAGAATCATTGAGTGGTCTCCACACAGCAGACTACCATTCCGTAACCTTTTAGTTCGTAATCAGTTATATTTCACTTCCATTTTTGACACCGTAGTGTCGCTACAGCATCCTATTTTGCTTAGCTAATATAACAACAACTGACGCTTGTTCGTGACACTACAACTGTATGTGGCAAAGTACATAGTGAATATTGCATACTTAATATCTGCACGTTTTTCAAGAAGAAAAACGCAAACGTAAAAGCCCAATGGGCCTTTGTTTTGAATAAGCGCTGTAAAGTGAGAGACGCTGGGTGGCGCTGTTGCTCTGTTGTGGTGTGTTACAGACGCTTGTGTGTTCTGTTGGACAGGCAGAGACTCAGAAAGCACCATTCACTTACATCAATAGATGATCTGCTGGTTGCAGCCGCTGTTTGATTGTGACATCGGACAGAGAAGAGCACTTCAGGCTCCGACAAACTATGATGGAATTATGACAGGTTATAAAAACACTCGTGGATAGAGACATGAAACTCGGAGCCCCTAGGTGAGTAAAGTTGTTTGAATGATGCTGCCTCGTACTTAAATGGCTTCAAGTGTCAACATGTGCAACAGGTTAATTTAAGCACTATAAAGTATTATGTCTATTTTAAAATATTTGAATGTAATAATGATAGCTATTATTAGGGTGACCGACCATATTTTGATTACCGAAAACCAGGACTCTCGGCCCGGCAAACCGATAGCCTACTCAAATGATACTCGAAGTTTACTCAAAGATGCCTTATTCATTTCAATACATTTTAAAGTAGACTATGCCTTCTCTGTATGGGTAGAAAATTATATTACAAATTCAGAAATTCAGGCTTACTCAACATGTTTTATTATGACAGGTTTCAAAAATAATTAATGAAATAATGTCTCTTCTGTATTAGAAAATATATATATTTAAATAATAAATAACTAAAAGAAATACCTCCAAATTGAACAAAAATAGCTCTCACAAACGAAATAACAAAATATATTTATATCTAGTTTTCTTCCTCTTATCTTGTTTTTCTTCCTCATCCTCATTGTTTGCCCATCTATATTTTGCTGTAGAGCTGATCTTTCAGAGCAGTTTTTTTAAAACCAGGACATTTTCATCACTTTATAAAAAACAGCCAGGACAGTGACAACAGGACATGTTCTGGGAAAACAGGACTGTTGGTCACCCTATATTATTATTGTTGTTTGTTTTGATAAGATGTGGTTTGTTTTTTCCTAAATTGTAAAGATGTACACGTGTTTTTGTTATTTATTTGTTTATTGATTTTGAAGAAATTTGCCTCCAACTTTGAAAATTACAGCTGTGGTTGAAATAATTATGAATTTGTTCAAGAAATCATATGATTTGCACACTTTAAACAGCCAAAGATGTAATTGTCATCATAGTTTATTAATTTTATTTGTACAGAGGAACTGATCCTGATCGAGATTAAAACCACATTATAGCTTTCATTTATTTATTTCAAGATGAGCAAAGACTTTGGGAATCCATTTTTAGTCAGTTAAAAAGATTGTTTTTAAAAAGATGTGAAGAGTGTTATTGTTTTATTATATCAAAAGGTAGTTCCCCAACGTCTTTGTTGATCCTGAAACAACATTCAAATCAACCAATCAGATTTGGGGGACAAGTTTACAATTTATGTCAAGTTTACGCTTACAATCAGGGTTAGGTGGTTATACATCAGTGTTATTATCCCTAAAATCAGAGTGAAATTATATGTGAATAAGTTATGGATAGGGTTAGGGCTAAGCTTAAGGGTAAGGAATAGGGTTAAGACAACATTGTCAGACAATGATGTACCATGATCAAAAAGATATGTCTTGGCAAAATCACAGTGAGCTAACTACATGATCAATGTGTGTTTCACACCACTATTTGTGTCACTCCCATATGGGTTTTATGATTGTGTAAAAATGTCACTCTTGTTTATGAGGCTTATGGTTTAGTTTTTTTAGTTTTTTCACCACAGATTGTATTTTATTCCTTTAATGCAAATGCAACTCCATTTTCCTGGTGGCGTGAAATGAAAAAAAGAGGTTGTGTGGGAAGGTGTCAAAATTGTTTATCGGAGGGATTGTCAGTGCATATTCTTTTCATTATGTCAATTATGTCACATTGTTTTGATTTGTATAAGAAGAGAAGCCAATCAAATCGTAACAACCGAGTGTTGCCAAGAGGTTACAATGACAATAACTTACCAAGAGTTATACAATAGGTGTTATTTTTAATTAAAACTTTGAGATACCTACTTCATCGATATGTTAGTTAATGTTTTTCAGGTTTTTTTGTAAATTGTTTAATAATTAAGCATCCAGGTTGTGATGCATCACTTTAGGGTGCAGTTTCAAGAATAACATGTCCATATAGCTCTAAAGGGTTACTTCACCCAAAAATGAAAATTCTGTAATTAATTACTCACTGCAAACCCATACGATTTTTTTTTATTCTTCGGAACACAAATTAATATCTTTTTGATGATATAAGAGACCTTTCATTCCCTTCATTGAAAGTCCACGCAACTACCACTTTGACTCTTCAAAAAGTTCATAAAGAGATCGCAAAACCAATCCATATAAATTGAGCGGTTTAGTCCAAATTTTCTGAAGAGACACAAATAAACCTCAAACGTACTGCGTAACACACGAGAATGAACCTCATTGGTTCTTAAAGAAGCTCAAATGTGCTGCGTAACACACGAGAATGAACCTTATTGGTTCTTAATAAAGCTCAAACGTATATGTAACACACGAGAATGAACCTCATTGGTTCTTAAAGCTCAAACGTGCTACGTAATACGAGAATGAACCTCATTGGTTCTTAAAGAAGCTCAAACGTGCTGCGTAACACGAGAATGAACCTCATTGGTTCTTAATAAAGCTCAAACGTGCTGCGTAACACACAAGAATGAACCTCATTGGTTCTTAATAAAGCTCAAACGTATATATAACACACGAGAATGAACCTCATTGGTTCTTAAAGCTCAAACGTGCTACGTAATACGAGAATGAACCTCATTGGTTCTTAAAGAAGCTCAAACGTGCTCCGTAACACGAGAATGAACCTCATTGGTTCTTAATAAAGCTCAAACGTGCTGCGTAACACACGAGAATGAACCTCATTGGTTCTTAATAAAGCTCAAACGTATATATAACACACGAGAATGAACCTCATTGGTTCTTAAAGCTCAAACGTGCTGCGTAACACGAGAATGAACCTCATTGGTTCTTAAAGAAGCTCAAACGTGCTGCGTAACACGAGAATTAACCTCATTGGTTCTTAAAGCTCAAACGTGCTGCGTAATACGAGAATGAACCTCATTGGTTCTTAAAGAAGCTCAAAGGTGCTGCGTAACACAAGAATGAACCTCATTGGTTCTTAAAGAAGCTCAAAGGTGCTGCGTAACACAAGAATGAACCTCATTGGTTCGTGAGGAAGCTTAAAACGGCACGTCAAGCAAACATGCTTGAGCTTCCATTTACCACAACTGATGTGTGAGGTGATGGATGTTTATGTGAATAAAAGCCTAAATTCAATCTTTTCATCATAAAGTGATCGAGCGCTAGTTCAGAAAGACTAAACCAATTCATTTGGATTCGTTTTACAATCACTTTATGAACTTTTGAAGTGTCAAAGAGGGACAGAAATCATTTGTGTTCCGAAGTTGAACAAAAGTCTTTCGGGTTTGGAAATGTTTTTCAGGTGAACTATGCCTTTAAGTATTCAGTTTTAAGTAAATTTAAAATTGTACCAACCAGCTTATTTAATCCTGTTATAAAAACAGGAAATTTCAAAGTCCTACATTATTTATCTAGACAGATCTATATGCTTCAGACAGTTAACCAAGTTTGAAATCCCTGGAGCTGAAGGGAATAGTGGGCTCTTAGATCTTATGAGACAAGATTAATGAAAGTTAATGCTTTCATACTTCAGCTCAGCTTTCTTTTTGGGTCATTCGGAAAAAATAAATAAATAATGGATGCCATTCCCAGTGTGATTTTTAAGTAAAGTTTCATAAGATTTGAAACATTCTAACAATTTCACAATGTGTTTAAGAGTATTTAAATGACATTGTGGTTTCTGAAGCTAAATGAATGCATTTTGGGACTTAATAACTATGTAGCTTCTGAAAGGTAACATTAGTTACAATTTAATTTGATAAGCCTTGTTCTCAAGTTGCTTCTTAGAAAGATGTATACTTTTCAATTGTTCACTATACAAAATAATGGTATAAGGGTTGACATTTTAATATTGTGCCCTACTAACAGATGAGAATATAGAGATTAGAGAATAAAAAAATTGCTAGATTTTATTTATTCTGTAAACTGGTTAATTTCTACAGAGCCCACGAGGGGACGTGGTAAGGAAAAATTATATTGGAATGCTTTTGAGTTTTTAGTTTTAGTTGCAAAACGTTTGTGAATGAACGCAAACTTGCAAGAGGAGCGCATCTCATATACTTTTCCATCACCACGTCCTTTTAGGGATTCCACCTATTTCTATGTTGACACATAAAATTGCCTTCATATGTTTAATTGTTAAATTGACTATTTTTTACAGATACATATCAGGGACACAAATGTCTCCTGTTTTATAGAATGCCCCTTTTACCCTCTCCTTTAACAAAAAGAGCATCCTGTGTAAACCAGTTGTCCTTTCTATGTATCTGTTCATAGCCTATTTTGTATAGTGTGTCTGAAACAGGGGTATTATAATCATGCGACTCATTTGAAACTCAAATGAAAGCAACAGAACAGGAAAGAAGCGTCCACGCTTTCTCTCTAATACCCACTTGAGCCTGCCAGCTGGGCAAATACATCTCACACTTCCAGTGTTTACTCTGTGAGAGCTCTCTCCACTTCTGCTTGAGTTATGGCTCAAGCGACATAGGCACAGGGTGCAATTTGGCCACTGTTGGCATCAACCCTGCAATGATGGAGTGCATGTGCTTTGTGTTGAAGTTGTCCTATCTTCAATATTTGGTGTGTGTTTTGAGATTGAGAATCTAAAAAGGCTTACATTTTCCAGTTTTTCCCTAACCTTTTTTGTTTTATCCACAGTCCCATCAGTAATACTGTTAAGTCAGGGAAGTCAGCAAAAACTATTTAGTCAGGGAAAGTTATATTTAAAGGGGGTCATAGACTCATCATGGCTCATATTCTCATGTTATATATCCCAGAAGTCTGTTTCATATACAAAGGTGCTGATTGTTTATTCTCAATGCTCTCACTTTGAAGCTCATGCTGAAAGAATATGATTGAATCTGTGATTTGAGAACCCAAATCAGTTGTGTTTGTCCCACAGGAGTGTGAACCAAACTCCATCTGACCACTTCCATACAGATGACCAGTGATGGCCACAGCATCAGACTCAGCGGACGAGTAAGTACCACCTCAGATATTTTTACTACGAAGATTAATACAAATTTATCTTATATTCATGTATAATTACCGTCACTTATTTGCCTACAGTGCAGTGGATCCAGTCATGTCTAAACACACTTTAAGGATAATGCTGTCTATTGTCCTGGTAACCATCATCATATTGACTGTGCTTGGCAATTTGCTTGTGATTGTGGCTCTCTGTAAAGACAGACAGTTAAGGTAATAGTGCTTCATATCTACATTTAAATTTACCATGTCAATGTACATTTTTGATGGTAAAAATAAAGCTTTAAAATGCAAGATATCTAAAAGTAAGCTGATTCCCCCAAAATGTGGTTCTGTTTTCAAAAATTTTTTGTTTGTTTGAGAAATGTCTGTTTGTTTGAGACCAGCCTCACATAGCAGCAATGGCTCAACCAATTGTGTGAGTTTGGGACGGGGCTATCAGTTAAAATATAATGGATTTATGTGGTTAATATCCCAGTAAACACAGAACGTTCCCCTAATGTTCCCGAATATCTTAAAAATATCTTAATTCGTGTTCCGAAGTTGAACGAAGGTCTTACGGGGTTGGAACAACGTGAGGGAGAGTCAAAACTGACAGAATTTTCATTTTTGGGTGAACTAACCCTTTAAGGGAAAGTTCTAGGAACGTTCTGGGAACCAAAAACTAACTTTCCCAGAACGTTTCTAGAACCTAAATTTGTTTGCTGGATACATTTACCAATCAGTGTTAAAAGTGCAAACTGTAGCACCAAACTGCAAAATAATTTTTTATCAGTATTTTTGTTTTTCTTTCTAATAAAAATGTCTTTAAAAACCTTAAAACAAGGTGAATTTACTTGAGAAGCAAAACGGCACATAAGGATTTGTTTTCAGACAAACGATACATCTTGAATCTTGAAACCCCACTGTGCAGTTAGTTTTCCTACAACCAGAAAACAAGTTTGTTCTCTGTCCTCAATTTGTTCTCTGAAAACAAACCTTAAAATCGTAGGCAGTTTGCTTCTCAAGTCAATCTCATTTTAAAGCTACACTGTGTGATTTTTACCCCCATCTAGCGGTGAAAAGGTATATGACCAACCAGTGAATATTAGTTTCTGTTCCTCTCAATTCCGATTTCGTTTTAACTCCTACGGTGGCCAATGTAGTCCAAGATTAGTAGTCCAAGTCCAAGTAGTCCAAGTCCATGTAGTGTAGTGTAGTCCAAGTCCATGGCTTCCAGTTCGACCTCGTCCATGAGTGTTAACTCAAACGTAAACGCGAAAGGCGAAGCTTGAATTAACGGGTATGTCCCTCTTTGGCTAATGTACTTTCAAGATGGAGGGTCAACATGGCGACCGACATTAGAACCCCTAACCCGTATGTATTTTCAATGGCATATTACACACTCACGAGAATACTTTATCACTTGAACGAAGTAAATATACATTAATGAGCACATATATTTTTGAAAGAACTAAGTGTTTTTAGCTAAGAATAAACTAAAAGAGTTACACAGTGTAGCTTTAAAGATGCTTAGATACTTTCTGGAAAGTGAGACATAAATGCAAGGAAAATATTTTCTGCAATTAAATTTTTGTTTTTTCATATGTATAGGGTTCTCAGAAGTGCAAGTCATCATAGTTGGGTAATAGTTGTGTCACTTCTATAGTGATGAATAAATACAAAACAATAAATGTTTGTGTTCCCCTTGTCTCCAATAGCAAAAAAAAAAATCCATGATGAAAGCATTTGTATGACTTTACATAAGAAGAAAAAAAATATTGAGAGACTTGATTACATTGGTCAAATTTCCCATCCCTCTATCAGCTGTTGTATTCAAGAAACATTAGAAATTAGAAACTTTGAATATAATATAAATAACTTCCATAAAAAGCTCCATAAGTATGATAAAATGTCATTAAATTGCAAACTGTACAGACATTGTATGTCTATAAATCTTTTGTGTGTGTGTGTGTGTGTGTGTGTGTATCTACTGTTCTAAACATAGGAAGAAGAAGACCAACTTCTTCGTTGTATCCCTGGCCTTTGTAGACCTTCTAGTTGCCCTTGTTGTGATGCCCCTGGCAGCCATAGAGTTGACCACGGGTCAGTGGAGTTACGGAGACACGTTCTGCTTGGTCCGTACCTCACTGGACGTGCAGCTGACCACTGTATCTATTCTGCATCTGTGCTGCATTGCACTAGACAGGTAAGTAAGTGCTGCTCATGAAGCTAATATAGTAACAAAATAAATGCTAATGTCCTACACAAATAACTGCTTGTGTTGCCATGGCAATATTGAAAAGAGAAGCCTAAATTTAGACAGTTTTGGGATGGCAATTTTCATTGCTAGACTTGATCACATTTTTTTCTCTTTAAAAACATTTGTATTTTGATACAGTATACATATACTGTATATTACTGTCCAGTTTCTAATTATTATGTGTCTTTGCGTAAACTGTACATTCAAAATCGTATGCTCAAAAAAGAAACACATAATTTATGTCTTCACACTAACTCCAAGGGGCTTGTCAGCGTGTCAGCTAATTATGTGTAATTTGCAGTTACATACCGTATGCTAATTTTCTCATGTTCACTCATTGGGAAAACTGTAGCAGCACTCTTAATACGAAAGAGAGCAGCTGTGATTTATGCAGCGCACCTTGTCCATATGGCAGTAGCATGACTCATTCTTAGTCTCTCAAAGCCTCTCTCTATCTATCTCTCTCTTTTCCCCGAGCAACAAATTTTGTTGCTCTCACTGTGTCACCAAGTTCTTTCTCCATCCGTGTATGATTCCTATGACTCATGATGTCTTTGCCTCTGCGGTCTCTAGTAAGTGCATATTTTCTAGTTCAAGGAAAGATCAGCGGTATCATCAGGGTATATCAAAGTACAGTATGTAGGGACGCAGTGTGTACGAAAGAGAGCGTACTGACAGCTTCCATTGAATCATTCTTCAGATATTTGCATTTTTTGTCTTGGGCAGGTATTATGCGATTTGCTGTCAGCCTCTGGTCTACAATAACAAGATGACACCTATAAGAGTCTCACTGATGCTGGTTGGATGCTGGGTCATCTCCTTTTTCATCTCTTTCCTTCCCATCATGCAAAGCTGGAATACTATTGGAATCGAGAGCTTTGTAAGTGAGGAGTAGTTTGGTTGGTTCTTTTTGTTAAGCTGCTGATGCATTATAAGCTTTAAGTAAATACTACTAGATCACTCTAGGTTTAAGTATAAAACTTTTGTTGTTGTTTTTTAAAGAAATGGTACTTTCCAAAATAAATATTTGGCACAAAGTGTGTAATTATCTCATTCCATTTTTTTTGATTGTTAATTTACTTTAGCTATTCTGTAGAAAGGAGTCTAAATGATGTCACTATTAGGCGTGTCCATTTTAAGGAATGTTGCGTTTTTGTAAAAAGGACAATTTCCTATTATATTTTTGGTAATTATACTAATAATTAAAAATAGAAATAACCACAATTAATTAAACAACTCAGTATTCAGTAATGTTTTTGTTGTTGAAAAAAAAAATCAATTAGTTTATTTAGATATGATGCATCAAATTAAGTAAAAGTGAAAGTGAAGACTTTTACATTGATTAAAAACATATTTCAAATAAATGCTTTTGAACAGTTTTAGGTAAGTTACTCTAATAAAGTAATTAATTACATATTATATAGTGTAATTAGACTACTGTAATCAATCTCTCTAAAATGCATTGCATTGTATCACTAATTACTCCAGATCAACTTCAGTCAGTTTATAAAATTGCATAATTTATTATTGAACTGACCAAAGTATTTAAAGGGAGAAAGGTTAGATCAAAAACACACATTTAAAAATTAGATTACATTTTTATGTTTAATCCACTACTGTTTTATTAAGAACTGTTCTATACAGTATGTAATGCAATAACATCAGAAGTAACTAAATTACAGAAAATGAAGAGTAATCTATTTCTTTAATTTTTCATGGGGAAAGTAATAAATTACAGTAATTAAATCCTTAGTAATACACTGCTTATGAAGGATCGTGTGACACTGAAGACTGGAGCAATGGTTTCTGAAAATTCAGCTTTGCCATCACAGGAACAAATTAAAATAGAAAACAGTTATTTTTAATTGTAATATTTCACAATATTACCGTTTTATTTTTGATTAAAAAAAAATGCAACCTTGGGGAGCATAAGAGACTTCTTTCAAAAACATTTAACAATCTTACTGAGCTTTTGGTTGTGTATGTGTACATTGACTGTATATCATTTTTTTATATAATTTTATTTGTTGGATGTAGTTGAAAAGGTCAAGACTACAAAATGAATCAGTATCGGTTGTGAGCCGATATTAGATATTTAATCATTCATTGTAAATTGTATGCACTGGTTGCTACTGGATATTCAATTGTGCCTGCGTATTTCTACTATATGCATGATGTAAATGACATTTTACAGTATCTAACACTCCCATATAAGGTTATAGTCTTTAAAAAACCTTTATGTAATCTTTAGCAAATCACCGTATCTATGTGAATATCCATTTTCCAAACAGTAAATTATAATGTCGTGATGCTTAAATTCATTTGAAATTATTGATTTTAATCTTTAGAGTTTAGTTTAATCTATTCAGACAAATTATTATGTAATTGTGATTGTATGTCATTGACCATAATAACTTGAAAATAATGTTTCAATATCGATGCATACTTAATTGTTTTTTCATTTCAATTTCCCAGATCGAACAAAGAAAATTAAACTCTTCCCGCAATTCAACTTGTGTGTTCATGGTGAACCGACCCTATGCCCTGGTGTGTTCAGCCGTGGCCTTCTATGTGCCTCTGATGCTGATGGGTCTCGCCTATCAGCGAATCTACATCACCGCTATCGGTCATGCCCGGCGAATCGGATCTCTGCATCGGGCCGGCTCGGCCCCTTCGTCGACTTACCATAACCACGAACAATCAGGCTCCAGTCGCATTAAGAATGAAACCAAGGCGGCCAAGACGCTCGCTGTCATTATGGGCTGCTTCTGCCTGTGCTGGGCGCCCTTCTTCATTACCAACGTGGTGGATCCCTTCATAAATTACAGCGTGCCCTGGCAGATGTGGACCGCTTGGCTCTGGTTGGGTTACATCAACTCGGGCTTGAATCCGTTCCTGTATGCTTTTCTGAACCGGGCTTTTCGGAGAGCCTTCATTAGGATCCTGTGCTGTGGGGATAAGCGCTATGCCCGGCAGGGGGGCTTTAGTCCCAGCAGACAACACTCAGAGTCTGTCAAAGGAACCTCCATTTCTCTCAGGTACAGTTAGTCCCTCTTGAACACTCTGAGCTTTCACAATTGAGTTCTGGGGAGAAAAGAGATGAATGTAAGAATGTTGGTTAAGTGAGATTTCTGGACACCCATGCATCATTAAGGCCATATTCTTTTTAAATTTAGTTAAATCGTTTACACGACACCGTTTTAACTAAAAAACGAAAACTTTTGATGCATTTTTGCCGTTCATTTTCGTTTTAGAGGCCTAAAAACGCAAACTTTTGAAAACATTTATTTCAAAGTGCATGAATCAGTAAAAACATGTTGAAAACAAGTCCACTGATCAATGTCATTTTATATAGATCAGTGGTTCAGTCTATTATAGGAGCGTGGTGTTTCATTACAAAGTCACATCGCCAACTACTGTCCTGACAGCAGAATACAGCGTTTCTAATAGTTTTCGCAGATCTGTGTGAACGGGATCGTTTTGACGACGGAAAACGCAAAGGAAAAACATTTCCATTTTTAGTACATTGTTGTCATGTAAACATACCCTTAGTTGTTTGCTAAAGGCCATGAAAAGTAAAGGTGTGTGTATATTTACACATACAGTAGGCCTATACAACATTTAAATTTTGGGTTCTGTAAAATGTTATTTTTTAAACTCACCTAATACAGTAAAACAATAATATTGTGAAGTATTATTACACTTTAAATGAACAATTTTCTATTTCAATATATTATATACTGTATAATATATTTTTGGCAATGCTGAATTTTCAGCATCATTACCCCAGTCTTTAGTGTCACATGATCCTTTATAAATCATTCTAATATGCTGATTTGCTGCTCAAAAACTTTTAATATTATTATCAATGTTGACAATAGTTGTGCTGCTTGGTATTTTTATGGAAACTGTAGCAATTTATTTCAGGATACTTTGATGAAGAGAAAGGAAAAGAGAACAGCCTTTATTTGAAATAGAATGTTTTTGTAACAGTGTAATATCTTTACGGTCACTTTTGATCACTTTTTGTTTTTTAATAATCATTTATATATATATATATATATATATATATATATATATACATATATATATGTTTTTTATGTTAAAATGGGACTTTGATGGGGTGTCCATAGCTAATTTATATTTTACTAATTACATTTTTCAGAAGTTTTCATCATTTTGCTAAAAGACCATGTGCGATAAACAAAAATATAATATTAAGTCATAAGTTGAGCCAAAGTTGAGCTAAAATTTTTCATCACCCCCCCCCCATCCCCACCACAATGTATTAATTTCAATTAAAATGTTATGTGCCAATATTTCTCATCAACAATGATAACTTTAATGATTTTGCAATGCAAGTATCATTGCATAAATCATAAAATGCAACTCTCAATTCTTTACAATATGTTTATCAAGTCCTTGGCCTGCAAAATGTTGAAGATGATAAAAATGATAGGACTGATAATCTGTTGATGAAAATGTTATTGTAATCTTAGGCTGTGTGCATTATCATGAAAATGATTTTTATAAAACCCATTTAGAAACATGCTAATTCCATACAGCTTTTTACAAGACACTTAAAAATGACATAATCGGCTAGAACACGCTCAGTAACTTTGAAAGTGAAAAGCTGCGTTTAGCCACAAGAGCTGGTAGAATATTCAGCTACAAGTCTTTCCATGTTTCCAATTGTTTTTCTCCTCATGGTTTCAGACTATTTTAAACGGGCTCTCCATTACAAAGGCAATTACCCACAGACTTGTTTTGCATCGGTATACATGACATCATTGCGGCTCTTGATTAAAACAAAAGCACATGGTTGTGACCGTGGAATATTCATCGTTCTGAAATTTTATGATCTGCGTAAAACAACACAGGCATTTTAAATACACCGCTATTTATTTTCCCATCTTTTATTTGTGCGTTTCTATTATTTGTGTGTGTTTTTCACACCAGGCAAATTAATTATTTCATTGTTGTTTTGACCTTTTTGATTTTTTTTAAGGCCAGTACTCTGAATGTCTACACTCAGTGGTTTGCCGTCTCGTCCTAGCAAAATACTTTGTTTTATGCACCAATATAATGGGTGGATCCTCATGATTTGCTTTGTTACAATAATGTTTTGAGGATTTATTCACCATTTTATTACTTTTAAGTGGCTCTTTTGACAAATAGTGGTGTTTAGTTTGCATGAGTAGTCTCTTTTATTATTATTTTAGTGTGGTGCAAAGCCCCTGCCCAATGTCACAGTCCCCAGCTCAGTCACCCTCAGCACTACACTTCCCAGGATCCTTCATGCTCACCACCACCTGCACACCAGTGGGGATTTCTTTAAGACTGCAAGGGAAGCTCTGCTTCCCCTATAAAGTCAAAAAATTAATGGTCAAATATGTACTATTGTGATAAAAATGCGTTAGAACACGTTCATCTCGAAGACGAGTTTGTTGAGAATCAGCTACATATAGCAGGTGGTCTGACTCGATTTCCTTCACATACATTCCCATAATGTCATGGTCAATTGCCCTGTTGAAGCGTAGCATCCTTTGACTTCAAATTGGGCTGCTGTGATCATTTTTTTAGTGCTTCAAAACTAGACAGTCATTTGATAAATGGTGCGATTATGTCCCGCCCACTGATGCACAGTGTCTCTGGGGCTGAATGGAGGAGTGGGCTGGCCTGGACTCCGGGCTTCTGCGTGATGATTGGAGGGTCTGTTGATTCGAAAGACTGCATCTCCCTTTGATCGACAGAAATGTTTTAAAAGGTTGCTGATGCTAAAGCTATTCAAGCTCAGTCCCATCCCAGATTTTGCAAGTATAGTCAAAAGACAAACTGCTGCAACCTATTTCTTGGTATTTGCTTGGTGAAATTGCTAGCCATTTTTCATCATACATTTCACACAATACATTCCTTGTTTCAGTTTAAATTAATTCCCACATTTCCCCCTGCTGGCCATTGAGAGGACACTGATCAAGTCACTGGAAAAGACGCCTTAGGACGCCCTACATACAATAAAGTAGGACAGAATTTACGTATCAATAAATGGACAATTTTTAAGAATTAGACCGAAAATGAGCTTTCCCTCTTTGAAGTACCAGAAGCCGCCACTCCTCAATCACCTGCAAGCAGTCAACCTCCTCACCATTGGTGTCTGGTCTACACAAAAGGCTTGCTCGACTTCATGTAGCACTGCACAGACCGATTGGCAGCTGACTTGAAGCAGTGCAAGCTGGTTAGATATTTTGTCTGACTTGAGACAGCGCCGATGCCACGTGACTGTGACTTGTGCCAACAAAGTACCGAGAGAGCGGTTCGAGAGCAGCCGGCTGATTTGTTCTGCGTAGCTTCTCCATAGTGGCTGCACGAGCTCTGATGATGACACTACAGTTCCACGATTAGCCGGATTCACCGCATGAAAACGTTCACATGTGTTCCGTGTTTATTCTAAAACCTTCAGTTCCTCTAATGCTCACAAAAAAGTTTTTTTTTATTACAGTAAAACCTCTTTTTGTGTAGTTGCGATGTTATATTGGGCCCTATTTTAACGATCTGAAAAGCAAGTATCAAGCGCAAAGCGCAAGTAACTTAATAGCTTCATTATTCATTTATTATTGTGGCGAATTTACCAGGCGCGCACAAAGAGTGGTTCACAGCCGAGGAGACCGACGTTCTTGTCAGGGCAGTGAAAGACAGAGAAGTGACGTTGTATGGGGGCAGAAACCCACCCAAATCAGCGTTGGTTAAAATTAATATACATATGATTCTTGCCACTATTGGGCAGGTCAGATCCGTCATTACTAGAATTAGCCTGAAAAATTTGGGTAAATGTGTAAGCTGAAACAAGCCTCCTTTTTGCGCTGACCCACCCAGGGAGCGCAAGTTCATTCCCTAGTTTTACTGACGTGCGTCTGTGGAGGGAAAAGCCCGCTTTCCTATTTTGCGGGTGCAAAATAGGAATGATCTATGCGTTAGTGTACAGAGTAATTTGCGCCAGGTGCAAGATAGGGCCCACTGTGTCATGTTTATTAAAATAAAACTGATAAAAAACGTAGACCCCACTTTGTACAAACAGACGCTGTATTAAACAATTGGCCTACATAAAGTTTTAAATGGAAATTTCTCTGAAACATCTGTGTATTTGACAAATACTGCATTTTATTTCACTTCAGCGTCACTACGGGAAGCAAAAAGTGTCTGACTTCACGTCTCCATTTTCAGCTCCTCCCCGTCTGCAAAGGGCAACTCCAGCCAATAGGTTACATCCAGCCGCAGATGATGTTGAACACACCTATAGACACTCATCTGATCTACTCAGCTGATCCACTCACCTGTGTTCACCATCACATTCCAGTCGCCAATACCTGTCACCTGTCTTCAGTCTGCAACGACTCTCATCCTCCCCATCTGCTACCCGTTCAGTCATCTGTAAAGACATCAAGAGTACCATCACTCATCCAGCTAAGTTAACTACAAACTATCTGACTGCAGTTATACTAACCATTGTCACTCTCTTACTCGCGCTTCCTGTTCCTGCAAATAAACCTCTGCATTCTGCTACCTACCTGTGTTGTCTTCTTCTGTATCTGTGACAGAAGACCAGACCACTTTATACTGAGAACAATATGAACATTCTCTTCGATCTTATTTACCCCGCTGGTCGGCTGATCTCCCATTTCCAAGATGGCCCCCCAATCAAAGACTATGTAGAGGAGTTCCTCGAGTTTTTTCATCAGGTAACCTGGAATGATGACACTCTTAAGACCGCTGTGGGTGAGTGTTTCTTTTCCTTTACAATTGGTGAGGTTGATGAAGACACAACCACCACTCAGCCACAGTCACCCTTGTCCACTTCAGGCAAGATGTGGCATCAGATGCATTCAGGCATCAGTCTGTTCCCATGAGAGAAATTCCTGAGCTCGTTTCAGTCCCCAAGCTCAGCCCAAAGCCTGCTCCAGAATCCTCGCCAGCCCATGAACCTATAGCTCTTCGTAAGATTTTTTTTTTGTCCCCGGGTGTAGTGGCCCAGCCTGACTTC